TATATATATATATATATATATATATATATATAATAAATTTAAATATCTGCCTATATATATATATAGGCAGACATTAAATTTTATTGTATCAAATAATTTAAATATCTTGATGATAAGACGCATAAAGCGATAAAGAACTCGATGATTGATATAAACTGTGTTAAATTATTGCGCATAAATGATTGTTGAGAGCGGTTAATGCGTTTTACAGCTGAAATAAATGCATGCAAATGCAGATAGTGACGTTGTTGTTATGCTGTAACATGCACGAGTCTCTTTCTCTTCCGTGTTAAATGATAGCAGATTTAAAATATTTAAATTGAAAACTAATTATTTATATACTCGTCCTCACGAGATAATAGAACTCGTCGTAATATGAGGATTCTAGGTTGCAGCCTGTTTAATTTATATGCACTGATCATAATATAGATAAATGCGATACACGTGATCGGCTGTACTAATCAACAAATTTGCCTAAATTACGCACGGCAAATAATCGGACGCGTTAATATACGTTAAAAAAAAAAGGAACAGAAGCTTTGAATGCCATTTACATTTAATATCACGCCTGAAGGTTACCGAATTTCGAGACGATGCTCGTCACACGATCTCTCTGCTTACGCATTCGAATTCCCACAGACGTGAAGATTCATCGCGCAAGCTTGATTGACCTGCATAAAATTAGCTTCCACACCTACTTTTACGAAGATAAGAACGGAATACAATCCGATTTGACGATGGCGTCGTTGCCGGCGATGCAATCAGAAGTTTATATCTTCGCCTCAAGCTGTCCAAGCCGCGAGAGTTTAAATACGAAGTATTGCTCGCGATTAATGGAAATGAGAAGTCGTCAAACAGGATTGGGTCAACTCTAATTACGCCTGGTACACTTTGTGCAAAGATGAATGTATGAATTCCTAGGAATAATGATTAATAGTCACGCCGCGGTTAATTTCCTCTTCCTACCGGTTATGAAATTTTCCGGAATTACGTGTGAAATCATTAACGTTAATTAGTGATTATTCTATTTCGTCGGTTCAGGGCCAGATCTAAGAATGCGATGCTCGTGACGGTTAGACATCTTCTTATTCATCTTCAAACAAGACGTTGTAGAGCTACGATTAGCGGAATTCTATTCATAAACGTTCGCAAACCGATAAATCAAACCAAGTAGCTGTGATATTTTTGTCATATTTGCAAAACTAAATAAGCTCGAACAAAAAATGGTGATTTAATAACTATTGGCACCGTATCTCATCTGCTATTGTATAATATTATAAGTATAATTTCAGTCTCGATCGGTTTACAAATAAGCAATCGGTTTTTCCTGTTTCTCTCTGTTTTTCATGTGCGCGCTCGAAATAGTTCACAGTGGAACGAGTTTTTGTACACGCGGTATTATTAACGTTATAACGTAGTTTGGAATTCTTCTCTTTACCAGGATCAAGAATTCAGCTCGTTAAATCGCGAAATTAATTCGCGTCCTATCGAAACGTTCACGATCGTCACGACAAATTCAGTGCATATCCTATTGGCACAGAGAGAAAAAGCAGAGAGAGAGAGAGAGAGAGAGAGAGAGAGAGAGAGAGAGAGAGAGAGAAGAGAGAGAGAGAGAGAGAG